TCTACAAGATAAAAGGATGGTTCCTTCAATAAATCGGCCTTAGCAAAAGGGGCCACGTGTGAGAGCTAGGAGTGCAGCCACCACGTCCACCTGCGCCGGGGATTGGCGTGAATGTTGTGGATTCACAGGGTAAATACGGATATAATTTGGGTAAAAAGATGGCGAAACATGTACTAAAACAGAAGAACAGATCACCCACTGAAAAAAGCAGGTGACGGAACTATACCAGTGGACACAAAGCACAGTATACACACATACATATGCACGTGTCCTACTTGATAAATAGAAAAGAGGTGTTTCTTTTTCAAGTAAAATGTCCCAAATTTCTTAAGCGAACACATATGGGTTTTGTACATGACATCATTTCTTTTTTTTTTACAACAAAATGAGAAAGTTCCAAACTTTTATTTGTGAAATATTTTCTTAATCATGAATTTGTTATGAAAAGAACTTACTTTTCCACTGAAGATTTCATATCTGAAAAGACAGGTTAAGTACCACCGCCCCAACAGCTAGCTCGGTTTGCAGCCACTGACTTATCACAATAGTCTTATCACAAACTTACTATTTTGTAAAATGGTATGGTTCACTCATCTTTTTGCAAAAGAAAACTTCACTTATCCTTTATGTTCTTCAGCTCTTTTACACTGTGATTCAAAAGACTTTTAGTTTCGCCAAACCGGTTTGGCTCAGTGGATAGAGCTTTGGCCTGCGGACTGAGGGGTCCCGGGTTTGATTCCGGTCAAGGGCATGTACCTTGGTTGCTGGCACATACCTAGTAGGGGGCGTGCAGGAGGCAGCTGATCGATCTCTCTCATCGATGTTTCTAACTCTCTATCCCTCTCCCTTCTTCTCTGTAAAAAAAATCAACAAAATATATATATATATTTTTAAAAAGACTTTGAGTTTCATGCTAATTTGATACCAAAGATTCTACTATTTGGGGTAGGTGATAAATCCATTTACGAGGCCACATCAAGTGCGATACCTGGAAAGACACGGAAGACCAATGAGCAGCCCAGCTGCTCCTCTCACTTCTTACACCACGGATGGCGCTCGCCACGTGGCAAAAGCCCCGGCGAGCATGGCATGCCAACCCCATTTTAAGTGTCTGCATGTAAAGCCCGAGCTCGTGCTTAAGGATAAAATGAATAGAAGAGCTGGTGCTTCATTCTCACGCCCCCTCCACACCCCGTTAAGGCCTTTGGAGTCAGGAGGATGAAGAGCATCATTCCTTTGGGAGGCCCAGAGTGTGAAAGGCAGAATACTAGTAAGTCACTTGGAATTGACTTCTCAACAGTTCTCCAGATTTTTGTGTTTATTTTAACATTATGCCCCCCCCCCCAACCCCCTGTCCTCCAGGCAATCACAAAAAAGCCTTATTGACTCCAAAATTCCTCAACAACTCCTGAAAAAGTTGTCAAGGCTGAAGATAAATTTTTAGGAGAATTCTCATCATCTCACTACAAATTTCTAGTCAGTGGATTCAATCAGATCAAAACCTTCACGTACTTACTCTGATGTCAATTTTGTGAGGTATCCACATTACATCTCGACACTCCTTTGCTAATGTTTCCCTCCCGTTTCCCCACTAGCGTCATTACAGTTCCATGCTCCCGCGTTCACCAGCCCTTCATGGCTGCAGCGACTCTTGCTACAGCCAAGAGTTGTAATCCTCCTGCCACGCCGGCCTCTAGCTGGGCCAGGAATGAACTTAAGTGGGTGTCCAAAAGGCTTGCCTGGCACTTTCCTAACCAATCAAATCAGTGCTAACCTGAGAGCATAAAGTCCTGAAAAGATCTGTAATCCAAAAATATATAAACTCCTCCCCCCAAATTAACTTTGCCTGATATGAAAAAGAAACAACAGGCCCAAAATGGAGTCAGAGTTGCTAAGCCGCACTAAGACTTCATCCCTAAAGCAACTGCAGTTTCGGCCGTCCCAGGAGTGAAATTCTAAACCGATCCGTCTGGAATGTCCAGGTCAGCATCAATGAAGTATCTGCCTCAAAAGACCTCGCCCAAAATAACCCGCTGCCGGACCCTCCTCCTCCCTGCTCACAGTGCCTGGGGCCCCTTCCATTGACCAGGTGGGATGCTGCCCCCGCATGCACTGCTGATAAAGCCAATGAGATAGTTAACGTTCCTGGGCTGAGTTTATATCTAACAATATCAAAATACAAACTTATCTGAAGTCAAAAGGCCAACTCCAAACTGCAAACAAATATGCCAACAAATGTTCAATGAAGATTCCAAGGGGTTGTTACTGTTTTTAATCAGCCGTGAAAACAACAAAATTTAAGAAGAGAAATAAATGTCTTATTTATAAAATGATCAAGTGTTTTAATTTTGCCTTTCTGACAACCCTTGGTTCCCACCACGCCCACAGCTACCCTCTCAGGGCTTCTTCACACTGAGGTCACCAGGTCTGACTCCCCAGGAACCCCCTTGGGGACATCCCATCGAGACAAACTGCCGCCTAAAAACAGCGCAGAAGGAGCTCTGCAGTTCCGCTCCGGAGCACGCTCCCCGCCGCCGACTTCTGCCCGCGGGTTCCCCCTGGGCAGTGTAAGACAGGACCCCTTCGCCAGGGTTCCCTGTAATCTGTTATAAACCCCAAAACTCTGGCTGTCTCCCGTTTTCTGTAAAGCTGTCATAGTTTACTCGAATCCTGGGGTTTCTCCCCAGTGACTCGCCAAGTAATGGGAGCAAATGCCCTGGTTACAACAGCCCCCTCTCCACCCTCTTTTTCTTGGGACTCGCATGGGCTCTTTCCCCCTGGAGGTTTTTACAGCTCAGCACAACAGCCGAAAAGGTGGGAAAACAAACCAACAGCAGCACATCTGGGGAAGCTTAAGAAATCAGGTTCTGCTAGACAAGTTCTACAACCTGTGTTTCACAAATGCAGCGATGATAATAGAACTTAGTTACCTCAGAATTATTTCTCAACCACTTTTTCCTATCTGTGGGCACAAATAGGAAAACAACCCCCAAAAGGCCTTGATCATTGATGTGAATTAGTTTCGACAAAGAAAGAGAAATTATTCAATTTTGAGGTGAAATTTTAACTAGTACCACCAACTTTTGGTCTAATCAATGTAAATTCCCCATTGTCAAACTGTACGTCAGAAAAGATATGTATTTTAAAAGGGAGGCAGCATGACAGAATCACGTAACAAGCTGAGGGAAGAAAGAGCTGATCTCAGGAACAAAAACAATCCCTTTGTGTTTTAAATCGAGGAGAGTAATTACTACACCTCGGTGGGTGGAGGTGGCAGAAGCACCCACACTGTGCTTCTACCCTGAATGGAGGAGCTGCTTCCCTTCGGCTAAAAGATGAGGCCCTGTTCTCTGGGTGGGAGTGTGGGGGTTAAGGGAGGAGGGGAAGAGTGGGAGGGAGTGGACAGGGGAGGCTCAAAATCTAGGCCAGTGGTTCTCAACCTTCCTAATGCTGTGACCCTTCAATACAGTTCCTCATGTTGTGGTGGCCCCCAACCATAAAATTATTTTTGTTGCTACTTCATAACTGTAATGTTGCTACTGTTATGAATCGTCATGTAAATATCTGATATGCAGGATGTATTTTCATTGTTACAAATTGAACATAATTAAAGCATAGTGATTAATCACAAAACAATATGTAATTACATATGTGTTTTCTGATGGTCTTAGGCGATCTCTATGAAAGGGTCATTTGACCCCCAAAGGGGTTGCGACCCACAGGTTGAGAACCTCTGATCTAGGTGCTAGAGAAAAACTGACTCAAAATAATAAGCCCACAAATATCTTCCATGATATTCACAAATCAATGAAATTCATAACTCCTGTGTAAATATACGTTAGGTTAGGTGGCTCAGGATGCGGCATAAGAAATAAAGAGTCGAGTGAATCAGAAAAGAAAGGAAAGGTTTATTCTGCGTCCCCGGGAGACCCACGTACCCCAAAAGACAGGGCAGGTGGATTCACGCCAACAGGGAGGGGGGGCGCTTTTTTTATACTGCCGTTGGGTGAGGGGCGGGGACATGAGCTGAGGTATTCAGCTGAGGAAGTTTCAGCTGCAGGGGGTCAGCAAGGGATTCAGGAAGGAGTCAGTATCTGTGTGGGGGTCGTGGAGAAGCCAGTATCTGTGTCTGGCACGCTGATCTGTTAGAAATGCCAGGGAGAGTCCATTATCTCATCACACGTCTGCATGTATCCGATCCTGGGCTTTCTGGGACCTAACAATACACATGTCCAGTGGCCCAATAGACAGCCACTCAATGCCTTTGTAAACTAGGGAGAATGCTACCCATTTCCTACAACACTGACACACCGCGTTCTCCTGCTAGACCTTCTGACGAGGATGAAGATAATCTTAGAACCACACCTTAGCTAGGAAAAACTTGCATTCAAACTATACAGCACTCTTACCTCATTTGGTGTATTTTAATTTTTTTAAAAAAATATGTATT